TCATTTTCAAGCTTTCATTTGAAAAGGTATTTATTGTTATTGATATAATGATATAATGATACAATATGTATATATATATATATATATATACATTGAGAATTGATAAAGAATAATTTTCTTTATTGTTGTTATTTTATTTTTAAATGTGTTTATTATCCCTAAAGGTTTCTATTTGAAATTGAATATGATTGATTTGTTAGCCGCCAAAGTGGCCAAATTTATAAAGGTTAATTTGATTTCAAATAGGTTGGTCATATAAATATATTTTATTTATGCAAATAATAATCCACAGGAAGGTTATTGTTTGGCCAAATAACATATGTTGTGTGATCATGTGTGTGTTTATTGCTTATGCGGATAGTGATCAGCCCACAGGAAGGTTATTATTTGGCCAAGTAACAAACATACATGTGGTAATAAATATGTGACAATTATCAAGAATTCTCCATATAATTCATAGTCGGCCCACAGGAAGGCTATGATTTGACAGGACTTATTGTCAATGTTTGATTACTACATTAAGAGTACCACTTACAAGTTGATATTTTTGTCCACAGACTAAATATTAATGTTGTGCTAGGTATCTTATAATAAACTCATTTTACTTCGGATTATTTGTCTATATCGTGTATGAATATATATGATATGACATGTTATTAGTATGTTATCTTTTTTGGTTCTCTGTATAGTTTCTGCTACCGCTGCCAATTATGTTGCTCAAATGAATATGCTTCCAATGCTTAATGGGGCAAATTTCAAGCTGTGGAAAGAGAATGTGGAAATTGTTCTCGGCTGCATGGATCTCGACAATGCGCTAAGGACTGAGAAACCCACTTCCACTCAGGAAAATCCAAACACGGATAAAATTGAGAAGTGGGAACGCTCAAATCGCATGTGTCTGATGATCATGAAACGTTGCGTTCCGGAGGCGTTTAGGGGCTCGATTGTTGAGACTACTGATGCCAAGTTGTTTCTGAAGGAACTCGAGCAATACTTTGCTCGAAATGAAAAGGCTGAAATTGGTCAAACCTTGTCCAAACTCATAAATATGAGGTATAAAGGAAAGAAAACATAAGGGAGTACATTATGGAAATGTCTAATCTTGCTGGAAAACTAAAGGCATTAAAGTTAGAGCTGCCCTTTGAGTTGCTCATGTACTTAGTTATTATCACTCTTCCTGCACAATACGGTCAATTTGTGGTGAGTTATAACACTCAAAAGGAAAAATGGCTCTTAATGAGCTCATTTCTCACTGCGTGCAAGAGGAAGAAAGGTTACAGCGAGAGAAGACTGATAGTGCTAACTTGACATCAACCTCTCAAGACAAGAAAAGAAAGAGAGCTAAGGATAATGCGGATGCTTTGCCAAAGAAGCAAAAGAAGCAGGACCAGGAATTCACCTGCTTCTTTCGTAAGAAATCTGGACACATGAAGAAAGAGTGTTCCAAATACAAGGCATGGCGCGAAAAGAAGGGTATGACTCTCACTTTAGTTTGTTGGTACTGGTTCTATGGCACAAGCGTTTAGGTCATATCTCTAAACAGAGAATTCAGAGGCTTGTGACTGATGGAATTCTTGAACCCCTTGATCTGGATGATTTTGAGGTGTGCATTGAATGCATAAAGGGGAAACAGACAAACATAAGGAAAATAGGTTCCAACAGAGCTTCAGACGTCTTAGAATTGATTCATACGGATATTTGTGGACCATTTCCTATAGCCTCTTGGAATGGTCAACAGTACTTTATCACATTCATAGACGACTATTCAAGATTTGGATACCTATATTTGATTAGAGAGAAGTCACAATCATTGGATGTGTTCAAAGAATTTAAAGCTGAAGTTGAACTTCAATTAGGCAAGAAAATTAAGGCCATTAGATCTGATCGTGGTGGTGAATACTATGGTAGATCTGATGGATCAGGTGAACAACGTCCAGGGCCCTTTGCGATCTTCCTAAAGGAGTGTGGAATCGTCCTACAATACACAATGCCAGGTAAACCTAGCATGAATGGTGTTGCGGAAAGGCGAAACCGGACTCTTAAAGACATGATGAGGAGTATGCTTAGTCATTCTTCATTTCCAGAATCACTTTGGGGAGAAGCACTAAAGACTGCAGTTTATATCCTTAATAGGGTTCCCAGCAAAGCAGTGACAAAAACCCTTATGAGCTATGGAATGGAAAGAAACCTAGCATAAGGCATTTACACATTTGGGGTTGTCCAGCAGAAGCGAGGCCTTATAGGCCAAATGAAAGAAAGTTGGACTCAAGAACAATCAGCTGCTATTTTGTTGGATATGCTGAACGCTCTCGAGACTTTAAGTTTTATAATCCCACTACAATATCCTTTTTTTGAGACGGGAAATTCCAGATTCCTTGAGGATGTTGAGTTTGAGGGGGAAGATAAAATAAGGAATGTTGTCTTTGATGAGGAAGAAATTATATTTCTCTTCCTAATATTGTCATCATACAAGATGCAATTACGGAACAAGCAATTAATGATCAGGTCCCTGTTCATGACATTGTTATGGATCAGGCTTTGGTCCCTGACATTGCTTTGGGTCAAGACAATAATGAACCACCCCCTATGCCACCTATAGAACAAACTCAAGAAGTGCCATTAAGGAGATCCACCTGAGAAAGGAGAATTGCAATTCCGGATGATTATATTGTGTTTCTTCAAGAGCATGAAAATATTTTAAGCTTGAAGTAAGATGATCCAATCAACTTCCAACAAGTCTTAGAAAGCTTTAATGCTCATAAATGGATTGATGCCATGAAAGATGACATGCAATCTATGAAAGACAACGACGTTTGGGATCTTATTGAGTTGCCTAAAGGTGCGAAACCCATTGGTTGTAAATGGATATTTAAAACCAAAAGGGATTCAAATGGCAACATTGAAAGATATAAGGCATGTCTAGTTGCTAGAGGTTTCACTCAGAAAGAAGGCATAGACTATAAAGAGACTTTCTCTCCGGTTTCTACGAAGGATTCTTTTAGGACAATAATGGCGCTTGTGGCTCATTTGGATTTGGAGCTACATCGGATGGACGTAAAGACAGCGTTTTTCAATGGTAACATTGATGAGACAATTTATATGGTGCAACCAGAAAACTTTGTATTGGGAGATTCAAAGTCTATGGTTTGCAAATTGAAAAAGTCCATATATGGCCTTAAGCAAGCTTCTCGTCTATGGTACCACAAATTCCATCAGGTTATTATCTCCTATGGCTTTGAGGTGAACTTAGTGGAAGATTGTGTGTATCACAAGTTCAGTGGGAGTAAATTCATATTCCTGATACTATATGTTGATGATATCTTACTTGCCAGTGCGATATAGGCTTATTGCATGAAACCAAGAATCTTCTCACTAAAAATTTTGAGATGAAGGACCTTGGTGATGCACCTTTTGTCTTAGGAATACAGATACTTCGAGATCGCGCTCAAGGTATCCTACGGTTATCACAAAAGGCCTACATTGAAAAGATTTTGGATAGATTTGGCATGAAGGATTGTACGTCAGGAGACACACCCATATCTAGGGGAGAAGAGTTTAGTCTCGCCCAATGCCCTGAAGGTAAGCTTGAGATGATAGGAATGACAAAGGTACCTTAATCTTTCGGGTATTATTGTTGACATAAATTAGGATCTCTACTTTGTAGTTTGTCTTTGCCTAATTCCTTTACCTTATACAAAAAATGTAATATGTGTCGTAATGTATTAAAACTTGTTTTTAGTTCAAAAATATATTTAATATTAAGTTTGTACTCAAGGTGGTACATAGAATGTGTCCCATGGAGAGTGAAGTATCTTGATATAAGGGGTGTCTATATTGGTAGAGACCAAGCCACAAGTGAAATTTCTTATGTATGTGCTCAAAGGGGGAGTGTGTGTGAGGGCTCTGCATAGAGGTAGAGTGACAGCATATGAGAGTGGGGAAGAAGATCCCCTCTCCACGTGTGAGAGAGGTATTTAGGGAGGAGCCTCTTCTGTCTCCTTGGGGCTTGAGCTGGTCAGCCCATGAGCTGTCTCATCAAGCTGCCCACTGTCAGTATACAGGGGTAGCAGTGCAGGGATGGGGAATGCCTCAGTGGTGAGCCTCTATGGCTTGCCATGGGTGACCTCTAGAAAGTTCTAGATATGAACTTTAAGAGATTGAGCCCATCTAATGGGCCTAGTAAGTACTATCCGGAACAAAGTTATTATGAATCACTTAGTTATTATTAGTCATAAAGTTAATATTAAGTTATCAAGTCTCGTTAATAGTTCAATCTTAAAGTGAGTGAATCAAACTATTATTATTAAAAGAGCTATTATTTTCATAATCATTCCCTGAAGACAATATGATTATGGGTTTAAACTATCTCATATTATAGGAGATAATTTTATTTTTTATACACGTAGAAAAGTATATGAGTCTATATTTTCTTCTTCTTTTTTTTTTCTCTTTACATAACCTCACATGGACCTAATATACTTTTATATAGATATAAGATGTAAAATTATCTCATATAACATAAATATCAAACCTATCATTATACCCAAGTGTGATGGCTTAGTTGGTAGCATGAGGACTGAGTGGTGGAAGAGGACCTCAGTTCGAATCCCACCAATACCGTATGGGGAGAGGCATAAGTATCGTAATCCTTGGACTCGCACCCGAACTCTGGAATAGTCTCATAAGCGGCTCAAAGAGTCGAACCCGTGGGGATACCAGAGGTTCTGATTCGCCTCAAAAAGACAATTAGGATCAGTTTCCAAAAAAAAAACCTATCATTATATAATAAAGGGAAAAAGGTGTGTCATTTTAAATAACACACCTTACATTCTTTCACTCTCACAAAAAGGTAGAATTCATATCTTTAAAAAATTCCCCCCTCTCTCTTATGATTTATCTTTTTCTATCACTTAAAATAACACAACTTTATATCTTTTAAAATAATACACATTTTCCCGTGTAATAAAACAATAAATCGAATACCAAATAATAACATTTAAAGTCAATAGGCGCCGACACCTTCAATGCAAGAATTACAAATAGTACTTGTTTCTACATTTTTTCTTTGTGCATTTCTCTTTTCACTTTCTTTCTCAGAAAATATTAAAAAATTAATTTGTACAACCTGTGTATTTGCTGTTTCTTTTACCTATGAAGCTTTGAAGCTATGATCTTGTTCCATAAGCTAGTTGTCACAATCTCACTAGCATTTTCATTGTCTCTAATGTCTTGTGTTACAAGGACAACGTCCAAAGTCATAGGATAAGGGTATTTACTCCAATCTCTTCCACTTTTTTTTTAACATTACTTCTCTCTCCTTCATTTTGCTTCTAGAAAACTGCACATACTTGCCAGTTACCCATGATCTTGGAACTGAGATGCTACATTGATTAGATCCAAAGTTCAAGTTTTTGAAGATACCCATTACTCCTCTAAATGGGTGGTCTCAGAGAATCATGGTGTTTCTGCAAAGGGGTGAGCAAGTCAGAGAGAATGAAAGTTGCTATTTGCTCAGGGAAAGGCCCTGCCATGGCCACAATCACCAACACTGCTTCTAATGGGGTCCCTGCCACCGGATTCTTGATCCACCGGAACCTCCTCTTGACCACACATGCCAATCTCCCCTCCGTGGTCGCCGCCGACAGCTCCGAGATCCGGCTGCATAACGGTGTTCCTGCAACTCTTGTTCCTCAGAGGTACCCCATTTGAGGATATTGCCATGATTTCATTTTGCTTGCTGAAATTGTTATCATATATTTATAAAAAGCAATGAAAAAAGAAAATGTAGTGAAACTGTGATTATCTTCTCTACTTTTTATTTTTATTTTCAACCCACCCTAAGGTTACTCATTGGAACGGGAAAATCACGGGTTCAAATCTAGGAAATAACTTTGCAAAAAATGTATGGATAAGGTAAAGAAAAAGTGGGTTCTTATCTAGGAAATAAATTCTTTGCAAAAATGTATAGCATAGAATTGACCCTCACCCTCGTAGAGTTAGGGATTTTTGCACCGGGGTTTACCCTTTTATTTTATTTATTTATTTATTTTGGGGTGGTTAAATTTTTGTGTGTTTGGTACATTTGGGATGTAAACAGCTAGGTAGAAGAGGGAGATAGGATAGGTAGTCTAGTAGAGGATTAAACCTCGGATATCAATATTGTAGTGTTGCCAATTGAGGTAGAAGCTGGCTAGCTTTTGTGTTAGATTTTGTTTCTAGAAGCTGGTAAGGAATGCAGTTAAAGTGGCAAAGTTGGATTGAAATTCGTTTCTAAATGTTTGGAACATTTTAATGTTAAAATTGAAATGAAATATTAATGCATCTTAGTCTTTTAGTTTATCTATGGATGCACAATACCCATCTTGCTAGCTGTATCACTGTACAACATGTTCTCCAACACACGCTTCTTGTCTCTAACTTGAATTTCATTTGACGATTTACTCTTCCCTTGTTGACTTTTTGGATACCTGCAACTATGAAGTTTCTTTTTATAGCAGTTGTACCTAATATTATTTCACTTTATCTGGGATATTCGTGTAGAATAGGAATGGTGGTTGATACTTTAGTTTATTTCTTTCAGAAGATTATTTTGATACATGTGATGTGAAACTGTATCATGTGATTCCATTTCCATTTGGTAATGTATATTACATTGTTCTTTTGTGTTCACATATTTATATCCTCTACTACATAGTTTTCAGCACAGCCTGGCATACCTTCACCAACTTGGCCCACTACTAGCACAAGGATAGAACTACCAACTGCAAAGTATGAAGTTTTAGATATTTATTTTGGAGCTTTGAATGTATATAATTTACGGTCAAAGCTAGCTGTTTTTATCAGACCAAAATAGTAATTAAGGATTGCTGTAAATCTTGCCTAGTGTGTATTGAAGTCAATAATCTTATAGTTATTATAATTTGTTTTACTTATGATTCTTTGTAGCATAATTTATGTAGATGTGTGAATATGTATTCCTACCGGATCATCAACAACATCTTTATCCCAAACTAATTGGGTCGGTGGTAGATGAACCCAAATAAAAGATACAAAGGGATTGAAAAACGATAAAATAAATAAATAAAATAATATATATATATATATATATATATATATGTATATATGGAGAGAGATCATTTGACTCCAGAGTAAGAAAATAAAGATGAGAAAATAAAAGGGGTGTAGGAAAATAAATAAATAAATAAATAAGAGAAAAAAAAAGATGGGGAAGGGGAAAAGAGCTAAAGGAAAAGAAGAAAATAGGGGAGATGAAGAGGAAGAATAACAACGGGTCTAACCCTTCATCATCTATATTCCTACCAGATGCTAAAATTTATTTTGACTATAATTCATGTTGGTGTGGCACATGTACATCAAACTGCAGAGTGATATGATTCTATAGTCAGTTACAGGTTATCTGCATTTGCACGTGAGCTATAGTGTGTATATGCTTTATGTAGTGTATGGTAGTGCAAGTCTTGTTCTTTAAAAATAGTGTATGGTATTCAATATGCAATGAAAGTTTGCTCCAGTTTGTGTACTTTATTTCTGACCTAATGTATCCAATATTTTAGCATCTTAGTTCAGACTCAGCATTCTGAAACTTTCAATCAACACTTACTAGTAGCATGTTTGAAGTTGCTAGAGCTCCTTTTGTTATGTTGATATACTACATTTTCTTTTGTAGACCAGCACAATTTGTCTTTATTTGATTCTGTTTTTAATTCAATTGTTCCATAATTTGTTATTTTATGGTTGTGTTTATTTTGTACGTTTAGCATTTCTTTTATTTGCTAAAATTAGGGACAGCACAACAAAAAATAAAATTGTACTTTGTTTGATTTTTAAAATAGTCTAAGCACTACACAAATAGCAGTCCAAGAGACAACGCAAAACTATTAATTTTTGTTACCCACTAGACCAAGTGACAAAATTTGTCCAAAGCACAAAAAAAGAAAAACCCCAATAATCCCCGTCCCTATACTTTTCTACCTCTATTGCATGCATATCAAATACAAAGGATATTACAATAATTTATGTTATTTTGTCCAGTACTTATGCATATAAAACAGAGGATAGCACAATATTTGTAGTCCTATGCATTGGTCATCAAATAACTAATAACACAAGAATTGTTCTGTGACTCGACCACTTGTGTTTTGTGTTCTGTTTATGTTGCTCTTCTTCATTATGCCTAAAACACACCCTTAGATTGGTTTATTTCATATTCTAGCAATCCATTTGGATTAAATTATGCTCTACATACTTTTTTATGACTTAATTTACATAATGGTCTTACATTTTTAATGATTTGTCATATATGTTATTTCTTTAAAAAAATGACTGCCTCAATTCACTACATCAATGTGATGTGGATTTTGGGTTTGCTAACACAGCCTAGATCACTGCTTCAAAGGAGTGTCTTAGGTGGATATACAAAGAGATTGGAGAGCTCTACATAAATGAAGTGTTTTCTCCTCAGCTGTTGCTTTTTTATTTTTACACTTTAGGAGGAAGAGGGCGAGTCTTGGAGTAGCGGTAAGGTTGCAACTTGTGACCGGAAGGCCACGGGTTCGAGTCTAGGAAATAACCTCTTTGCAAAAATGCAAGGGTATAGCTGCGTACAATCGACCCTCACCCCTACCCTCGCAAGTCGAGGAACCTTGTGCACCAGGGTTTTCCCTTTTTACTTTAGGAGGATATATGTCATTTTCTTCTTTAATAAAATTTCTTCTTTTATTAAAAAAAGAGAAATCTGTAGCAGGCACCATTACTTTTGAGTCCTTAAAGTGGTTATTTTGTATAGCAGTGAGTTAATTTTTTATTTGGTTTCAGGTTTTTCATTACAAGTACTGTATTAGATCTTACAATTGTGGGTTTAGATGATGCGGATGGAGAATCAAATGCACAGGGTCATTGCCCTCACTACTTGAAGACATGTTGTAAAACCAATCTGGATCTGGGAAGTGTAGTTTACCTTTTAGGCTACACAGAGAAACAGGAGCTCACTGTTGGTGAAGGAAAGGTGGTCATAGCCACAGACAATCTCATAAAACTATCAACTGATGGGATTCTATGGAGTCCAGGTTCTGCAGGTTTTGATGTGCATGGCAATCTAGCTTTTATGATTTGTGATCCTATGAAGTTAGCCACATCACCAAACACCAAATCGCCTTCAACTTCTTCGTCGTCCTCCTCCTCTTGCAAGAAGGATCTCCCCATGCAATTTGGCATACCAATTCCTGTCATATGTGATTGGTTAAATCAGCATTGGGAAGGTAACCTTGATGAACTTAACAAGCCAAAATTACCGCTCATTCGATTAATGTCGACCGGCACGAAAAGTGAGCATTCATGTGCTTCCTTTACAATTAGGCAAGTTTTCAAGTCAACAGAGGCTGATAATGATGGCACCCCGTCTTCATCAAACAATGTCTCAAAGATAAGGGATCAAGGACCAAGTTCTTCTGCTATTACCAACACTGTTGAAGAAGAAAGCTTGATCACTAATCCGAATGCTGCACATATACAGGGAATTCCCACTCCAGAAATATACGAATCACCAAGAGTCACGGCTGCGCCGCTCAGAAGAAAAGCAAGTACACAAATTCAGCTGTTGGACATCAATTTTCCTCCAAGGATTGTCAAACCTGCAGTTTTGCCACAATCATCTAAAGAACTGCATCCAAACTCTGCTGAAAATTTTGCCAAAGAAACTTTGCTTGAAAATCAACAACTAGAAGGAGAACAAAACTGGGACAGAAGGTCATCAATTCCTAGTGCAGAAGTTTCTTCAACAGGTTCTGTTAATGGAGCTCAAAGTGAGATTCAGTCTAGTTCATCCCCTGTTGAAGTACCCGAGATGCACAATGGATATAGCAGTGAAGGAGAGACAATGTATTCCGCAGAAACCGCAGAGAGTCGCAATTATACAAGCCCCAGAGAGATGAAGTTTCAACAAGTTGGAAGGAGCCATAGTTGTGTTAGTTACAATAGATGGGGTGCTACACATAGAAGCCAAGTTGCTCGTGGGATGATGGTAGAAAATCAGAGAAGCTTCATGCATGTGAAGAAGGTGTATTCACAAGGTGCAACTTCTCATAGAAGCAATGACTATTTCAGCCCCACTGTTTCCTCAATCATGAAACGTAATAACAGCTCAGAGAACCCAACCAGACCAAAACAAAGTGCTGTTCATTCTCCTTCACCTAGATGGTTGTTTTGATTGATACTTTATATAATGGTCTACTCTATAAAGTAAAAAACTAAAAAAAGAGAGAGAGAGAGTATAGTAGCATTGTATTTTTCTTCTTTTGTTTTCCATATTTATATGTTTTTTTTATTTTTTATGGAACATTTGCAGAGACCAGTTACGGTGAATAAGAAATTTAAGGCAAAATGTAGATTTCTTTCAAAATGACTCCGAGAGCCTGTTTGTATCCTCTTATTTTTAAGCTAGAAGCTATTTATAAGCTTTTTTTTTGGAAATTAAGCTACTTATAAGCTAAAGCTAAAAATAAGAGCTTAAAAAAAGAAGCTAAAAGCTGTTTGGTAATTACAGAACAAATTTAGCTTAAAAATTACTTAAAAGCACATGTTTCAAGAAAATTATTTCTCTCTCTATTTTTATAACTCTTCATTTAAAAAAAAAGCACACAATTCAAAAAAAAAAGATAAGAGCTTAAAAAAAACTCCTCCTAGGAGCTTTTAGTTTTCAGCTTTTTTCTTCATTATAAAAAAAAGAGCTTTTCATTATAAGAGCTTTTCTCAAAACCTGTTTGGCTTAGCTTATGCTTATAAGTAGCTTCTAGCTTAAAAAAGAGAGGATCCAAATAGGCACTCAAGGTGATTACTAATTCCATGTTGAGTACAATGGTCTGTCCAAAAATTATGCTAGAAGTAGTGAGGAACATATAGAACACATTTTATTTTATATATTCACCAGTTCATTAATTATCCGAGTAGTTCTCTTAGAGCACCATCGTCTTTGCTTTTCTCTCTCGAAGTAAAGCTAAATAATAGTGCTGAATGAATTTTATGTTCCACTTCCACCTTGGATTATAAATTTATTAAAGTTATCTCACTCTATAAAATAACTTGGATGGAAAGCCTAGAAGTGAAAAATCCTATTATGCATAACTTCTTTTACTTCACAGATTCTCGGGTTAATGTCACATATATTAAATATTAAGAACATTTTTTTTGGTAAAAAGATTGAATTAAATTTAAACATTAAATTATTCAACTTAATTTAATCAATTAAGTGGATCTTCATTAACAGTTACAATCCAATAAAATTAAATTATGCTATTCATTTTTTAATTTGAAAAAAAAAAATTAAATTAAGCAATACATTTATTAAGAAAATAATTTCATAAGTGATATAGCAAAAATATTGTTGTTGAAGAAAGTGGGTGAATGATCACCAAAAGACTTGAATCCGAATGTAACAGAGAAATTAAAACAAAATTATGAAATACAGTGCAATTAAAAAAATAAGACAGACTCACAGTACATGAATAATATGAACACAATATGCAGAATGGAATCCGAGCCCAACACAGTTGCCTCCTTAAGACAATTTATTCCTTCATTATTGCCGAAGGTAGATGAACAAATGTCTCCCAGGATAGAACGGATTGCGTCTCAAGGATGATGGCAACAACCAACCAAGAGCCCAAACAAAACACAACAGATGTCTGAGGAACTACAGGGATGGAGGATATCTGCACGGGTGGAGCAAAAAACTGGCAGAATAACGATGCAAAAAAATTGTGAGGGAACAAATTTTTTGAAGGGAGGAGCGTCTATATATAGACACCGGAAAGTCACGATGAAACGCCGCCGGCGAATCGGTTCTGTTCAAAAATGGCAGGTATTGATAAAAAATTATTTTTATTTCACACACACGTACAAACTGAACCGAACCGAACCGAACCGAGCCGGGGACGGTGGTGGCAGACCAAAGGCCACCTAGCTCCTCTCCCCTCCACAAAATGTGCAGTGCCCCAACGAAAAATTTAGGAGTGTGAGGTGAGAGCTTATATACTCTCTCACCTCTTATTGGTTGTCTAATGTAGAACTCTTTAAAACCCACACACCATTTGATTTTCCCTCTTTTTCTTTTTCTTTCCAAACCTCTACTTATCCATCACCAATGAAGAGTTTTATACTTAAAATTCTAACAAATATTTGATTAAATTATTAAATATGTGCATAAAAGTGGATCTTTATTTTATTGTTGGAATCGTAAGTTTAAAATAGACATATAAATAATAGAAAAATATAAAATGTGATTAAAATTATGAGTTATAGACTTTTATCAAACTTTGTTACACAAACTGATCTGAAATAAAAAAAAATTGAAAAATAAAATAAAACTAAATTTGATTTTTAGATGAACAAATGTCTCCCAGGATAGAACGGATTGCGTCTCAAGGATGATGGCAACAACCAACCAAGAGCCCAAACAAAACACAACAGATGTCTGAGGAACTACAGGGATGGAGGATATCTGCACGGGTGGAGCAAAAAACTGGCAGAATAACGATGCAAAAAAATTGTGAGGGAACAAATTTTTTGAAGGGAGGAGCGTCTATATATAGACACCGGAAAGTCACGATGAAACGCCGCCGGCGAATCGGTTCTGTTCAAAAATGGCAGGTATTGATAAAAAATTATTTTTATTTCACACACACGTACAAACTGAACCGAACCGAACCGAACCGAGCCGGTCGGACGGTGGTGGCAGACCAAAGGCCACCTAGCTCCTCTCCCCTCCACAAAATGTGCAGTGCCCCAACGAAAAATTTAGGAGTGTGAGGTGAGAGCTTATATACTCTCTCACCTCTTATTGGTTGTCTAATGTAGAACTCTTTAAAACCCACACACCATTTCATTTTCCCTCTTTTTCTTTTTCTTTCCAAACCTCTACTTATCCATCACCAATGAAGAGTTTTATACTTAAAATTCTAACAAATATTTGATTAAATTATTAAATATGTGCATAAAAGTGGATCTTTATTTTATTGTTGGAATCGTAAGTTTAAAATAGACATATAAATAATAGAAAAATATAAAATGTGATTAAAATTATGAGTTATAGACTTTTATCAAACTTTGTTACACAAACTGATCTGAAATAAAAAAAAATTGAAAAATAAAATAAAACTAAATTTGATTTTTAGATGAACAAATGTCTCCCAGGATAGAACGGATTGCGTCTCAAGGATGATGGCAACAACCAACCAAGAGCCCAAACAAAACACAACAGATGTCTGAGGAACTACAGGGATGGAGGATATCTGCACGGGTGGAGCAAAAAACTGGCAGAATAACGATGCAAAAAAATTGTGAGGGAACAAATTTTTTGAAGGGAGGAGCGTCTATATATAGACACCGGAAAGTCACGATGAAACGCCGCCGGCGAATCGGTTCTGTTCAAAAATGGCAGGTATTGATAAAAAATTATTTTTATTTCACACACACGTACAAACTGAACCGAACCGAACCGAACCGAGCCGGTCGGACGGTGGTGGCAGACCAAAGGCCACCTAGCTCCTCTCCCCTCCACAAAATGTGCAGTGCCCCAACGAAAAATTTAGGAGTGTGAGGTGAGAGCTTATATACTCTCTCACCTCTTATTGGTTGTCTAATGTAGAACTCTTTAAAACCCACACACCATTTGATTTTCCCTCTTTTTCTTTTTCTTTCCAAACCTCTACTTATCCATCACCAATGAAGAGTTTTATACTTAAAATTCTAACAAATATTTGATTAAATTATTAAATATGTGCATAAAAGTGGATCTTTATTTTATTGTTGGAATCGTAAGTTTAAAATAGACATATAAATAATAGAAAAATATAAAATGTGATTAAAATTATGAGTTATAGACTTTTATCAAACTTTGTTACACAAACTGATCTGAAATAAAAAAAAATTGAAAAATAAAATAAAACTAAATTTGATTTTTCTTTTCGCTTTCTTTTGATTTAAAAAATTCTAATAAATATACTTACACGAAAATGCTTTTAAGGATTATTACCTTATATAGGTAAATGTTTTAGTTACAAAAAGATAAAAAGAACACAAAATACAAATGCACATTATGATTGAATGATAATTACTACCCACAGCAAAAAGTAAGCAATTCAAGAAAGCTTAATCCCTTTTTATTTAACACATTCTCACGATCAATATTAGATGAGCAAACGCTTAGGGCATGTTTGGTGTGATGTATAAGGCCTGATAGTATAAGCTTATACTATACATTAATGAATTTTCAGTTGTTTGGTGTAACCATTGTATAGTATAAGCTTATACAGCAGACCCCCTAATACATCAAAATGATGTATAACTTACTCAAGCCTAGAGAGGTGGGATTAGACCTGATAAGGAATTGATGTATTAGCCTAATCCCATCCCATTCTTCTCTTTCCCATCATAACTTTTTACCCTTAACCCCCCTTCTTCCCCACCCCGCTGTAACCTCATTTCTTCTTTTTCCCCATTTCTTCTTCTTCTCAAATCACATCAGTGTAGAAAGTTGTAACAAAATTGAATTCTGATTTTTCAAATTGTTACAATAATAACAACGAAACCTTGATGCTAGTGCCAGCTTGGGAGGGAAACATTGTCCCCATTTTAACACATTGTGTTTGTATTGACGGAGATCCCAAAACTTGCCTCCCATTCTAATTTATGCATTTATCTTCTACAATCTGCAATCAAATCCAGAGACGCATTCATCGTAAGATCTATTCATGCTCGAATCATCAAATAGGGCTTTCGCATGGGTGTTTTCTTGATGAACAACCTCCTCAATTTCTATGCTAAAATTGGTTCCTTCTCTCATGTTCACCGCGTGTTCGGTGAAATGCCCCTTAAGACCTCATTATCTTGGAACACCATTTTCTCCGATTATGCTAAAGGGGCGACATGGAAGCTGCACACTGTGTGTTTGATGAAATTCCTCAACCTGATTCAGTCTCCCAATAATAGTTTTTTTGTTAAAATATTAATTTTTATTTCTACAAAATTTATTTATTTTTTAGACATACTAAATTAATATCATATGACATATATAGAAGAATTATATAAAAAAATTATTAAAGGGTATCTTTGTCAAAAATATTTTTTTTTATCCTATCTAGTATTATACAATGTCATGCCAAACGTTGGATAGTATTAAAATCTAATCAGGGCTTATACTATCAGGCCTTATACTATCAGGTCTTATACTATCAGGTCTAATCTTATACTATGCACCAAACATGCCCTTAATATTTGTATAGGACTAAGTCCATCAATTGAGGTCTTGTTGATTACCTTATTGAGTAAACTCTTTGTCTTTAACAAAGCATGACATATGAAAAATCATATAGGTAGAGCGAAATGATGATTGCAAGACATGATTTTATGAGAAAAAGGTGAAGGACCATAATTAAGATTGAACGCAAGCATCAGAGGGTAAAATTGAAAGAAAAGAGCAATGAAAAATGAAAAATTAAAAGAAAAAATGATTAATTAATTAAGATTAAATAAATCTAAACAAAAAGTTAATTGGAGAGGAATCAATTTACACAACGTAAAAATAAGAACTTCTACACTTATTATTAACGGTTGATTTGGGATTCTAATTTGTAGGAGATAAAAGTTCATGTGAAGCGATAAATATAAATAAAATCAACAGAGTTTTTATTCTTATGTGTGAGTTTAACCTGCCCCATTTTAATTATTTGTTATATGACATTGATACTTTGTAAAGCACCTTACATAATTTAAATTGGCTAAAAACAAGATAGCGTATTATACATTTTGAAGCGGGATATTTATTTCATCTAGCAAATTATTATTTAAAGCCAAATGACAAGCTTCCATTATAGGTTTTTTTTTTTTTTTGGAGGTAATATTCTTACTATCAAAAAATTTCACTACCAACCCACTACCTATCTAATTACCATTGGATCAACATTTTTTCTCTTTTCAGAAACTTTTTAGCATTCTCTCTTTGATCCAATGGTGATTAGATATGTAGTGGGTTGGTAGTGAGTTTTTTTTTTTTTTTTTTTTTGAATACAAAGTAGTGAGTTTTTTTAGTAGTAAGAATATCATCCTTTTTTTTCTTTCCTTTATCCCCCTTGTGTTACCGAAAAAGTGAAAAAGAAACTAATACCTAAAAATTGAACACCCAACGGTATCAGCAAGAGATCACTCACGCCCAAAGGAGGGATATTCCAAGTAAAGATTTATATATTAGTTTGCGTCACCTTAAAGAGAAGAATTTTAATGATCCTGAATCACCATTAATTCAGTGGTTCGAACCAATCAAAATTAGATAACTACTAATAAGAGAGGAGAAATGAAAAAAAAAATAAAAATTATCCAAATATCACCCCCTAAATAGAAGGAACACATGGACCACCAAAAAATTTTCCCACCTCAGAAGTCCCCTAATACCCCAATTTTTCAGCTGCAATCCAACTGCCCTTCTAACTAGCCAAAAAAATAAAGGTGACAATCCTCAATAATAGTCCCACCACGCGCTAAGAAATCCACACAAACATTACCCTCAAGATGGACATTCTGCTTTTGAATCTTGCAGCTGATATCCACAAGGATAGAAAATAATGGTGGAAAGATGATTGCCTCCTCAAGCGAATCTGTCTTTCAAACAAAATGCTGAAACCCAATACTCTTAGCAAGGTTCATTCAATAGTTTACTGCCTCAAGCTCAGCCAGAATATTAGTGGAAGAGAATATTACCAGAGAAGCCAAAGATGTTCCATTATTGCATCTCTGTTACAACTTTCCAGCATTTCTACCCTCGAAGTAAATATTACGGATGAACCTCAGAGAGCGTTTGGTAGAGGAAATTTTTTTTTTTTATCCAGGAATCTCGATAATATGATTTTTACATTCAGTTTACGATAATATTCGAAAATACAAAATTTAAAAAAATTCAGTTTCCCGAAAATTCTGAAGAATTCTACGTACCAAATGCCGAGTCAACATAGAACAGGGAAGGATACAGCTATTGATTCCACAATCAATGATATAAGCATTAGGATACAATAAAATGCTTCATGGCGCATACAGTTGACAGAGACGCAGACATCATCAATAAAGGTCAAACAATAAATTTTCAGCTCTTTGTAGGTTGCAGAGGCTACAATTAATTTCTAACAACTGTTCATATAAAAATCATTGCAAACTCGGAAAAGTAATTTTTAATTTTGATCCACTTGTACTAATATCCAAACATGTTATGTTGCTAATGAGTTTAATTCTTCAGTTCTTATCTTTTTCACATTTCCATGATATTTCGATGATAGTGCACGTTTAGGCACTAAAGTTAACATGTTTTATAATGATAACGAATCAGGATTAAATCTTTAGAGTAATGCTCCAAACTAGGTCAAAACAATCAACATCAACAACACTTTTATCTCAAATTAATTGAAGTAGGTGATAAATGAATCCAAATGAAAGAAAACAGGGGTCAAAACAATAAATCATAAAAATCAAGTTGATAGGTTTACTGAAAGTCTAACTTGCCAACAACTTTATAAGATTGTTACATCGAAACCATTCCCCAACATGGCTATCGAGCCTCGGTGAGCTATTGTTGTTTAATATCAGTTTCATGTGTTCCCAAAGAATATAAACTTGCAACCAAAATATTAATAAACATTACCTGGGAAAAAAAGGCAATCAATTGATCGTAATAAAAAGAGTTCATGTACATTTGCCAAAATCCAAAGGAGTTACACATTAGTATTTTTGTGTACAGTGTAAAAAGCCAAAAATCCTTCACACCTCCCAATCAGGAAATTGTCGGCAGCTAATTCTGAACTTTAATGGAAGATCTAGAAACCACATCAGCTGGGACTAACATCGACTCCTCTTTGCTTTAGATATTCCTTGGCCTCAACAATGTCCTGAAAAGAAGCAAAATAAGCAACATTCTTAGGCAAATGCCAACGGCAGGACCATACCTAAATTTTAACAATGAATCAATAGCTTCAATTTTGCCCCAACATCATGAATCCAGCACTAAGCTATAATAATCTGGTCATAATGACCTGCTGTGTGTAACTGCTTTTAGGAAGATAAAGCTGGTAACTCCGTAATTGCCAGAATAACAATTAAGAATTAGGGAATCAAATCTTAAATGGTATCAGCTATTCGAAAGGCGTTAAGATTTAGAGAATCAAATCATATAGTAGATTCAGTGCAAATTTGGCATACGAACAGCAGTAAAGCACTCATACATCATGATGGTAAAATTAAATTTCCATTTAGCTGATACCATTTAGTTTTTACCAACACAAGGAAAGAGGGCATACTAAAATGCACAAACATATCCTGAGCAATAAAAGGGCCGTCATTGATGAATGTATGCGATGGAGATACAAAAACTTTCATTTCCTCTACCTAATAAACTTTTTGGTGAGTTTGTTCCTTGATGATTTACATTAAATGCAGTTCTTTTGGGATAGAATAAAGGGTTCGCTTTTTCTACAGTCAATGTAGATAATTTATCTATATTGAGCCCAAAACGACATCGTTTTGAGGCGGAAATCAAGGTATTTTTATAATTATAATTTATTTCAGGGTTATAATAGTCTTTTTCATTATAATTTTTTTATTTTAAAACCCAAAACGACGTCGTTTTGAGAGCGAATGTAGATAACTTATCTACATTCAGTTTAGAAACATTAAAGCCTAGAATAAAATGCAGTTATTATACTCCTAGTATTCACATGAATAATTCCGATTTTTACTCCATTCCTGCAGTAGATTGGAGCTTGACATTGAACAAGTTACAGACTGCATGCAGGTTATAAGTTGTATTCAATGCCACCGAGGATTATGATCCATTACAGGATGCGACTGACATTTTTATACAATAAAGCAAAAGGGATATGAATCCTAATCTAGGTCTGCAGCATGCAAGACGTGAAATAATTAATGTATTAAAAGTTCCTTGTGGTGATTATATTGGATTTGCAAAAATACCCTCCAATGTCCAGTACAGATTCAGCACCTACATTTTCTGATCAAAATGGTTAATGTGAGGAAAGGATCTCTGTAATAGAATCATACCAACTCCAGTGATACATATTATAGCCACTAACTACTCGGGTAACAGTCAAGACTCACCCCATGCTTCAAACTATGACTATTAATCTCCCCCCCCCCCCCCCCCCCCCCCCCCACAACAAGTGGCGTAGACTGGATTTACTCTTGTAGAGTCTCTGATTCCTTATGTTCATGGAAAACATTACAAAATGATTAAAAAAAAAAGATTAGAAAATATTTTGATAGAGAAAATACAGTGAATAATATAGGACCAAAATAGAGAACCCAAAGAAGGGATTTGCTACATGTTTTGTGGTCTTTAATTATTGGTAAGGTCTTTTTTTTAGGAGACTTCTTTGATATGGTGTTTTGGGAAATTTGTAATTGGTTTGTTTTAGTGGTAACTCATTTTAAGACTTTCTTTTTCTATTATCTTTCATTTTTAAAGTTCTGCTTCGTAAAATTGAAAGGATATATTGCACCTTCCCATTTCTTCCATTTTTTAAGTTCTGTTTAGTAAAATTGTAAAGATATATTGTCCTTTCTCTTTTAACTTTTTTTAACCTCAATAATAGCTAATTTTTCATCCAAAATAAGCATGTAGGAATTAAACATAATCATCTTTTCAGTCCTGAAATTATTTAAATGCATATAGACACTACTGTGCAAGAGAGTAAAATCCACACGTGCATGCATCTAGGAACATCCATACGCCACAGGCACTATAAAGCACAAACCATTGAATTAATTATATATCAATGCAATCTGTAACGAACAGAAGGAATAGAAGTATACCTTTTGCAACAACAGGGCTTCTTGAGGACAGGTTGGAAAATTCATCAAACCAACTCCAACCATTAGTAGACCATAACATCCTAAAGACACAACAAAATAGATAGGCAGCTGCACAGAGGACGGAAACAAGGCATAGTCAGCATTATGCAGATTAGAATTCTATCAAATAAATAAAGAATCCCCAATGGGGTTCGTTCAGCTGAAAAAGATCAAAGCACTTTGCTTAATGCCTGTTTGGGAGCTCTTATTTTTAGCTTATCTTCTCCTTTTAAGTAGAAACTTAGCCAAACATAATTTTACAAAAGAGCTTATCCTAAAAAGAGCTTTTTTTTATAATGAAGAAAAAAGCTAAAAGCTCCCAAGAGGAGCATTTTTTAAGATATATATCAATTATTTGGAATTCTTATATTTATTTTCCAATTATACCCTTATTTTAAACTTTTATTTATAAATTTTATCATTTACCCTTATAATTTATCCTAATAATAAATCATTTCATCTTTTTCCCTTCAAAACCCTAAGAACAACTTTATACAATTATCAAACAGCTTTTAGTTTTATGTTTTAAGCTCTTTTTTTTTAACTTTAACTTAAAATAGCTTTTAGCTTAAAAAAAGAGGTGTCAAACAGGCTCTTAGGCTTAAATTTGAATCCAGCTGGCAGTAATCCCCCTAGATAGGCAATCTATATTCACCAGTGTACCTATTGCATGTGTTAGCCTTCGAGCAGAAAGCCTCCCCTTCCCAAAACTAATTTGTAACAAAAATAGAAAATAAAAAAGTCGAATGCATAATGAGATGAATACCTACCAACCAAGTATGACTGCGCCGAATCATAGAAGTTTGTAGAAGGCCAACCCATAAAGCAGTGATGGCCATTACCAACGTCAAAATCTTCACAATATGCTTCATTAATCAATCTGAAATTAGATCAATTATATAATGTGTGCGTAAATTTGTATGTACAAAAAGTGGTTACACTGTAAATGCTTCATGACAAACATAACATATGTGGGGGTGCATGCAAGTTAAATAGACGAGAAGAGAGAGAGAGAGAGAGAAGAAGAGAAGAGGGGGGGGGGGGGGGGGGATGTGAATCAGAAAAAGTTGACAAAGGAAAGAAACAGAGACAAAAACTGCAAACTCAAAAGTTGAAGCAAGCAACAACTGTCACAATTATTTACAAGAAAGTAAGACCTATGATATGAGCAAAACCAATTCTTGATATCGAATGCACATAAAATAGCTAAAGATGCAAACAAATTTAAGTCATTAGAGTTCTTCTCTAGAAACTACCCTCCCTAAAAAATGTCAAAAATCCAACAACAACCACAAATAACTATCCCTTAATGGTGGCGGCATCGAGCCTATAATTAGTGCAATAGAAATGAAAGGAAAAGAATGAAAGAGCACAATGTACCAAAACAGGGCTTCGCCCAAGTACAGCACATACTTCCCTTATCTTCCTTCAATTTCCTCTTTGCCACTTATAGCATGATTTCAGCAATGGTCCCAAATCTTGTACCGATATTGTTTATTTTATTTGCTAGAAGAACATATCCATGCTTGCCATCAAAATTGTGGCAATTTATACAGCACAGACACACCAGTTTGGTGCCATGTTAGAGTCAGACACACATCTGTATGAGTCCAATTTTTTATGAAAATTTTGGGCTCTAACATGGCATGGACATGATCATCCCTTTATTAACCGTTTATTCTACTTGCATCTAACAGTTCCAATTTATGGGAGAGAAGAACCATTAGTTGAAAGTAGAATCGACGATGAATCAAGGGTGTAGGAGTTTGTAGACATACGCTGATGTAAGTTGATTCTCCCCTATATATATGTGTGTGTTGTGTCCCTGTCCTACAATTTCTATAAATTAGTGTGTCCCCCTGGTGTTTGTACTTCATATGTGGCAAATGTGTTCAATTCTTGTATGGCATCTTGGTATTTTTCTTGGATGCAATTACTAGTAAAATTTTATCCTATTTCTTTCAAATCTTCAGCCAAGAACCAGAATTACAAATCTACTTGAACAAGAAAAATCCTCATGACCACTTAATTTAAGGAAACAACTATTGCTGCCACCGCTATCAATAAGATATACATGAAAATATGGCAATCAAATACAAACAGAAGTCATTGCTCAATCTTCGAACAACATTAGGCAGATAAGGATGAAAATCCCACCAGTTAGATCCACATTTCTATATCAACGCATAAAATATTCAAAGTCAATATTTAAAATAGAGCTGTATAAACAGTAAGGAGCAAAAATGGTACCCTACGTCAATCTCTTAAATAAAAAAGAAATATCCCAAAATGGCAAACCCATTGAGCATGATCACAGATTTCTAGATTCCAGTCATAACATAGTTGTCACACATACATCAAACATCAAACATATTCAGAATGCTCATATAGCCTTAAACATGATTTTAAAGAAATTGTTTTGGGTGTTCTACATTCGGAAATTTTCCCTTCTATAATATAATTACTCACAAATCTTTCCTACATCCAACAATGAATTGAATTATGATCTAACAGAACTAAAATCATGAAGGAAATATAAATTAAGTAAAAGACGCTTGTAGCCACTGCCATCAGATGGGATTTCCATGAAATTCATTTCATTGTTAATAACAACTATGATAGTTAAATGACTCAAAGCCCTTGCGCAGTCTCCCAGCATCATTTGGCAGTTACAAGCAGAAATTCCCACTAATAAGGTTCATATTGCTCAAATAATCCAGTCAAAAGTATAAACGGTTGCCACAAATCAAAGACATTGAAGATTATCCATCTTAACCTGCTATGAATTAAAAATGAAAATGCAAAATACATAAATAACAAAAAAGGACTTCATGTATTGCTTGCTGTACCACAAAAAAAAAAAAATACAAAAAGACTTCTTGAAAATCAGGAGCAGAAAGGTAGATATTCCTAAACAGAAAACAATTATCAGAATAAAACGAAAAAACTCACTGAATTTGATCATGGAATCCAATTCATAACATACAGCTATCACATATCAAATGCATTCAAAATGCTTATATATCCTTAAAAATTAAAATTAATTAATAACCAGCAAATCCTGGCAATTCCAATCTCTGTCCATGCTATATCAATAATTTCAAAATCATTTCCCATCTCCGGGCAAGAGTCAAAATAAATAATCAATTGAGACTAAATTCATTAAGAAACCACATGCAGCATGACTTATGAACTGAAGTAAACTCTTTGCAACTTCCATCAGGTGGGATCTCCATGAAATTCATTTCATAGTTTAACAAACTCAAAGCCCTTGCGCAATTTCCCAGCATCACTTGGAAGTTTCAGGCACAAACCCTATCAAGTAAAAAACTAGAGCTATCAAAACAAACCAACCTCACTCTAGAAGCGAGTCAAAAAAATGGACAACCTAGCTCAACCCACTCGAATTGGTGAATTAAATTACTGTGATCATAAAATCATCATACATCAAAGAAAATCAAAACAGAAGTTTCATCAAATTCAGAATCACGCCAACTCCAAAATTAATATAGCAAATACCACAACAAAATATGGCACGAGAAATGTCGATATCTTCTGATTTAGCCAATTACCGAAAGTAAATTGCCCTATAATCGGTTGCCAACGACGATGTGTTCGGGGGTGAGTGTGACGAAACGCAGACAGAATGAAAAGCCGAACCCTAACACAAAGGAGGAAGGAGTGTCTTCAAATTACCGAAAGAGTAAAGACATTTTGTCGTTGGGTTATTATCAATAAATTAATTTTATCGTAAGATAGATTATATTAATCCAAGTGACAGTTATATTCTTTATATGATTATATGATTATGATTTGATTCTTCATAAGTTAAAATATAAGTTACCCTCTTAAACTTTAACCATATTTCAAATTAGCTTATTGTATTTTTAATTGTATCAATTAACCCGTGTATTTTATAATTGTTTCAAATCTGTTAAAATTTTTACAAATTCTGTTAAACCTCCTCACATGCCCTAAACTCCAAATCTCACAAAAAAAATTCTCTTTTTTTCTACGTTCTCTCATCTCTTATTACAATATAGTTTGGGATGATTTCGATTTGAATCTTTCTTTATAGTGAAGTAATTTCGTTCATGAATATATTGTTACGAAATATGAGTTCATATTATGAAAGTTTCAATCTTTATTTAAATTGATATTGTTTCATTGATGTAAAATGAAAATTGATTTGAGGATTTTAGTTCCCCTATTATTTTTTCACTGTTTTTTATTGTTTTTAATACAAAGATCACACATTTTTGTGCCAAGAAAAACTGCCACCCAAAGCTTGAAAAATCACTTTTTAAACTTCCAAAATTTCTCAAAAATGGCTCAAAAATATGTTATTTTTGATATAGATTATATTAAAATCTCGTTGGTTTGTTGTTTCTGGATTGTTTTGTGATGAAAATCGCTCAAAAATATGTTTTGTTTTTTTGTTGTGACAAAGCTCTCATGACAGAACCCAATTTCAAGCGGTCAATATGCCAAAGAAAGAAGAAAACATTGCAATAGAAGAATCTCAAGAAATTCTAGGGGTTAGGGTGAGATCTTGAGAGAGACATGTTATTTATATTTTTCACTAAAAAATCTCACGAAATTCACACCAATAGAAAATCTATTAAAATCGTCGAATTTTTGAATACCACGATATTGTGATTCTATTGTTTAAAATCCTGATTGAATACCAACGGATTTGGACGGATTCTAAAATAATCCTTTAAAATCCTAATCGAATATCACGTGACTTTTTTTCAATCCATTAAAATCCTAATCGAATATCAACGGATTTTTTTGTCCAAAAATAATTCATTAAAATCTTTTAAAATCTTAATCAATACACCTTTTTAGTGTATGTATATATGATGAAGTTAAGTACATAGAAATATTTTTGTGAGTCAGGATGTCGATCTTTATTAAAGTAAAAATAGTTCTTATTTTTTTAGTTAATATCATGTTTTAACCAAAAAATATCCTTCATTTATTTAGATTAAAAGGTTGTTAAAATTATATAAAATAATAATGAATCAGCAATGATCTACATGTTAAATCTCAAATTATGAATCATGCAATGATTATAAAATACCAAATGTTAATAAATCAGAGTTGTAATTATGTGTACCTTGTTGGGCCATCACAAAGTCGGAGAAGAACGGTTGGAAATATGGGAACAAGATGCTAGAGTCTTCCTCTCTATTGCCTATTCAGAAATTGGCAGCCTTCAGCAGATGGGAGCATGATGGCTAATGGAGCTTAGCTCCAATATAAATAGGCTAGAGAGGGGACCTAGCCAATAACCCAGAAAAGAGTCTGTGCCCACTGGGTCCACCCATCATGGAAAACCAGGATCACACTAAAGCCTACACTGCTGCCCAACTAGGCCCAATAACAACAGATGCCAGAAGCCCAATTCAATGTGATCACAATGGGCTAGTTATAATAATAATATTGGAATATCCATTAACCCGATTAATTTTAAAAGACAAAACTTATTAATTAATATTGCCCATAAAATAATAATTCTAACATTCTCCCACTTGGGCTATATTAATTAATTTAATATTATTTTGAAAATCTTTTTATTTCGAAAACGACTCTATCGGGTTAATAACTAGAAAATAATTTTACGTGGCCACGATTTCGAAAAGTAATATTCCAATTCCAGCATCTCAACACAATTCAATCCAACATAACCTCATCATAGGAATATGGCGATCAATATACCGAAAATATCATGGCATACGACCTTCCATACTCACATACAATGAGTATTACATCTTCGTGAATCAGGGCCTAGTAGTGTAGTAAGAATTAGTGCCAAAATGTGATCAACAGTGTAACACACTAATTCTTATCGGTCCTCAATGTAACTTCTCAACAACATGAAATTACATTAGTGCAATTTCCAAGCAACATGAAATTACACTCTGTAATGCAACTTCTCAACAACATGAAATTGCATTACCACAATTTCTAAACAACATGAAATTGCTTTGCTTAAATAAGCCAGTATGTCACAATACAACATGAGATCTCAACAGTGACAATTATATATCTTTAAACTTTACAACATGTTTAAAGACAATTATACTTCTCAGTCGACAATAGAATCATAATAACAAAATTATGATGATCATCAATAATAAAACATCAATAATTCTCAAGAAATATCAGTCTGCAAGCAAAATAACTGAAAGCAAGGTAAAAAATAAACATGACTCCCACTAATCAAGGGAATGAAAAGAGTCAAAGATACCCATATTCTTCACATGTTCCTTGAACAATACGGGTCGCAAACCCTTTGTCAATGGATCTGCCAACATGAAATCGGTTCTGATATTTTGAATAGCAATGTCACATTTTTTAACCAAGTCCTTCACTGTGTAGTATTTGATTTCCATATGTTTAGATGCATTGTTAACCTTGTCATTCTTGGAATAGAACACAACTGCAGTATTATCACAATAGATCACCATAGGTTTGGATATAGAGTTCACTATGCGCAAATCAGAGATCAAATTTCTCAGCCAGACTGCCTGAATAGAAGCACCATAACAAGCTACAAACTCAGCATACATGGTAGAACTCGTGATAAGAGTTTGCTTTGTGCTTTTCCATGAGATAGCACCACCAGCCAACATAAAAATGTATCCAGAAGTCGATTTTCTATCATCTGAGCAACCAGCAAAATCAGCATCCGAATAACCAATTACCTTGAGATCTTCTACTCTCTTATATACAAGCATGAAATCTTTCGTGCGCTGTAGATATCTCATTACTTTCTTGGCTGCAACCCAGTGATCATGACCTGCATTTGACAAATATCTCCCGAGAGTATTTACAGCAAAAGCAATATCAGGTCTGGTGCATACTTGTGCGTACATAAGGCTTCCAATTGCACTATCATAGGGAATATTTTTCATCGCTTCCTTTTCAACATCATTTTTAGGACACTGCTCTTTACTTAATTTGTCTCCCTTTACAACTGGAGCATCACCAGGTCTGCAAGATTGCATATTAAATCTCTTTAGCACACGATTAATATAGCTTTTTTGTGATAACCCCAGAACTTTTTTAGATCTGTCACGGTGAATCTCAATGCCCAGAACAAAAGAAGCATCACCAAGGTCTTTCATCTCAAAATTTCTGGAGAGAATAGCTTTCGTCTCATTCAATAAATCAACATTATTACTAGCAAGCAAAATGTCATCTACATAAAGTACTAAGAAGATATATCTACTCCCACTTACTTTCATGTAGATGCATTGGTCAAATTTATTCTCCTCAAAACCGTGTGATCTTACAACCTTGTCAAATTTCAAGTACCACTGACGTGACGCTTGTTTAAGACCATAGATGGACCGCTGAAGTTTACACACCATGCCTTCCTTGCCAGCTTCTTTAAAACCTTCGGGCTGCAACATATATACTTCCTCTTCAAGGATTCCATTAAGAAAAGCTGTTTTCACATCCATTTGATGAAGCTCTAGATCAAAATGAGCCACTAATGCCATGATTATCCTGAAGGAATCTTTAGTAGATACCGGAGAAAAAGTTTCAGTGAAGTCAATGCCCTCTCTCTGTGTGTAGCCTTTTGCAACTAATCTTGCCTTGAATCTTTCTATCTGACCCTTATTATCTTTCTTTGTTTTGAATACCCATTTACAGCCAATAGGTCTGTGCCCGTCAGGTAAATCAACAAGTTCCCATACCTGATTTGCAGATAAGGAATTCATCTCATCTTTCATAGCTTTCAACCATTCATCTGCTTGGTCACTTTCAAGAGCCTCTTTATAGGTCACAGGATCAAATATCACCTCAATCATAGAATCATTTTCACCAAGATAGACTATGAAATCATTAGTGATAGTAGGTCTTCTTTCTCTTTGCGACCTTCTCAATGGTACAATTGGAACCTCTTCAGGTAATTGAGTAGTTTCAAGTTCTACAGCGGGAGCTGGTTCATTAACAACAGGAGCTTCCATTCTCTGAGTTTCCCAAGTCAAAGCATCATTCGAAGAAAGCACAGGTATAGATATAGTTTCAGATGATTCTCCACTTTCATAAGAGTGAGAAGAAGTCATTTCAGCAACATCAAACTCTAGAAATTTTGCAACTTGTGATTCAACAATTCTGGTGCCACGAGAAGGACAATAAAATTTATACCCTTTAGAGTGATTAGGGTATCCAATAAAGTAACATCTGGTGGTTCTTGGTTCCGACTTCTTTTGAAAAGGATCATAAATCTTTACTTCTGCTGGACAACCCCAAACTCGAAGATGATTTAAGCTGGGCTTTCTACCAGTCCATAACTCAAAAGGTGTCTTTGGAACAGACTTACTAGGCACACGATTCAGAATATACGCCGCTGTTTTAATTGCTTCACCCCATAAAAACTCAGGTAAATTAGATCTGCTCATCATACTTCTTTTCATCTCCATAAGGGTACGATTTCGTCTTTCAGATACACCATTCTGTTCAGGACTACCAGGCATCGTATATTGAGCGATAATACCACAATCTTGCAAGTATTTAGCAAAAGGCCCCATGTGCTGCCCAGTTTCAGTATATCTCCCATAGTACTCACCACCACGATCAGATCTAACAACTTTGATGACTTTTCCCAATTGTTTTTCAACTTCAGTGCGGAATACTTTAAACACATCAAGAGCCTCAGTCTTCTCCTTAATTAAAAACACATGACCATAGCGAGAGAAATCATCAATGAAGGTGATGAAATATTTCTGGCCATACAAAGTGGTGGCATATGGCCCACTAATATCTGTGTGAATAATCTCCAGTAATTCTTGACTACGAGTAGCACATTTTTTCTTAGTTTTAGTTAATTTTCCTCTCACGCAATCAACACAAATCTCAACATCGTCTAATTCAAGAGGAGGAAGGATTTCAGATGTGATGAGTCTATTAACCCTTTCTTTAGAGATATGCCCTAGACGCTTATGCCAAAGCAAAGAAGATTTTTCTTTGATTAAACACCTTTTACTCACACCAGATTCAACATTCAACGAGCAATATGGGTCATCAGAAGACAAAGACAATTTATATAAACCATCATCCATAACACAATTTCCAATAATCTTAGAATCAAAAAACACATCCACTTTTTTATTAGCAAAATGAAAACAATATCCAACATTGTCCAAGGATGAAAGGGAAACTAAGTTCCTTCTAAAGTCTGGAACATAGAAAACATTATTTAAAACTAGTCTATAGCCAGAATCTAGTTGCAGAAAAATAGTGCCAACAAGCTGCACGTCTACGCCCACATCATTTCCAACTATAAGCTTTGACTCCCTCAGACTTGGTTTCCTCAGGTTTGTTAGACCCTGCAAAGTAGATGTTACATGGACAGAAGCACCAGAATCCAGCCACCAAGAGTTTAAAGGGACATCAATTATATTTGATTCAAAACATACCAATAACTCATTGTAATCACTCAATTTTTGTCCTCCCACAATAAAATAAAAATAAATATATATATAAATTAAAATTTATTTAGTAAATAAATTTTAATTTATTTCATCTAGTCTCCTAGTTTTTATTATTATTATTATTATTATTATTATTATTATTGTATCTATTTTTATTTTTATTTTTTTAGTTGCAAACCCCAAAATAAAAGTAAAAAAAGAAGTTACCAGTTTCTTGGGTTGTTACAAGTTACAACAACAACCCTCTTATGTGGGTTTCATCAACCGCCTTCTCTCACCGCCTGTGTCAATCAAGAAGTATTATTTTCAAGTAATCCCACGTGAATAGTGGTCAGGAAGTAAGGTTTGGGATAAGAAAGAGCAGGGGAGGCGTGTTACAAGAAAAGAAGGAGAATATATAAAAAAAATCAGCCCTTCCTCTATAAATATGAAAGACCTCGATTGTGAAAGGGGTTGGTTTTTGAAGGATCGAAAAAGAGAGGACAGAACTCAGAGGGGGATTTTATTGTGGTTTTTTGGGAAAAGTTTCAAGAAAGAAAAAATACTAAAACAGAGTTTCTAAAAACAATAGATTTCTGAGAGAGAAAAATGAGAGAGTTTAAGGAGACAACAGTTTTGTAAAACCATAAAAGTTTCTTTAAGAGAAGGGAATTTCTTGAGTTTTTAGGGGAAGTGGGAACTGAATGAAAAAGGAAGGAACTTAGAAACAAATAACATGTTGAAGTCGCTACTGCTGCCGCTGTTCCAGTCATGCGCGCCACTCCGCGATGCTTTCCTTTGTGATTGTTTGTGATATTTTCCACAGTGAATAGCCATTCCTGCAAGCATATTGGCTTTCGATACCCCCGCTCAGGTTCTCTTTTCGTTTGGGTTCAATGTTTTCTTTAAACCCATATTATTATTTTAAAAGAATGATAGACCAATATAGGGATATGTTGTTTGTCATGATTCCATTAGCTTTTTCGATGTGCTGTTTGAAAATAAGCATGACCATTTGATTCTTTTATCTAATATGTCATAGACGTAGCTTTTTAGATGTACTAGAGGAAATATTCTAATACTTGGCATTAGCAAACATTGATCTTTTGGTCTACACCGTACGAAACAACTCTGCCATTTTTTCCTTCAATTCACATCTTTTCAAATTATATTAATAATGTTAGCATGGTACTTTGTCCTCTTATAACATGATTTGAATATTTTAATAATATATAGATTACGTCACTTTAGTTTTGGTACATGCTCCTGCACATTCTCAAGTCAGGATGTTTATTTTTTTCCTTCTTTCTTTCAATTAATTTTTACCTTTGCTTATTATAAAAAACGAGATTAACATAACATTTTTTTGTTTTTTTGTTTATTTTGTTTTAACATGAAGAAAGAAATATTATAATATTATAGATTAGTGAACTTTAGCTTTATGGTCTGCATATTCAAAATGAGGTTGCCATCTTTCAATTAAATATCTCTTTACATTATATTGACGGTGACTAAAATTTAATTAGATTTTATTAATATTTATAAATAAAGAATTTATAATATTAAGATCATGGGGATTAATTTAAGCGTGACGCTTTGTTAATCTTATAATTCTTTGGATCATTTTAGCCGTGACGGCTTGGTGATTTCAAATTTATCTAAAATTTGTTATTGAAACTTAAAACATTAAGATTTTCAACAAAGGGGTAATTTAACCGTGACGGTTTGTTAACCCCGTGTATTTTATTTTGACTCATTTTAGCCGTGACGGCTTGGTGATTCAAAATTTCATTCAAAATTATCTTAAAATTCACAATAATGAAAATAATAAACATGAAATTTAATTTATTAAAAAGGGATTAGCTGAGTTGAGACAGCTTGTTAATCCTACAATTACCGTTTCAGATTATTTTAGCTGCGACAGCTTGGTAATTCGAAACCTTCAAGCCCAGAACCTTCCAATGAACTTTCTTTAAAATTACTTTCAAAAACTAAAATCAATCAGCACACAAATATTTTTTACAGAACGACGTAGCTTTGAGTTCCCTATTGTACCGAGGGATACGTCGGAGCGGGACTCTTCCCGTCAAGCACAAAAATAAAATTTCAAAATTAGTTTTCTTTTCCAAATGATCAATTTTATTTATTTAGGGTGAAATAAATATTTAAAATATTATCAATAATTTGCATAATTAATATAAGGTAACCGTTTTTTAACGGACGGTGTAGGGTGCTAATACCTTCCCTACTCGTAATCGACTCCCGAATCCATTTCTTTTGTTTTTCAAAGACCAGTTGTCTTTAAAAAAAAGGTTTTTCCAATGTTTTCCTAAATAAACCTTGGTGGCGACTCCATTGTTTTAAACATTTAATTTCTTTCGCCGTCACGTCGCGATACGGTTGCGACACTCACCTTGGCCCTTTTGTTTCTTAGCTAACCAAGCCTTAGACTTGTAGCAATTGGTCCTCTTGTGACCCTTTACCTTGCAATGAAAACATTTTATAACCGCTCCTCAATATTTATCATCATTGCCCTTCCTTTTGAAATTCTGAGATTGCTTAGGAGCAAGAGAGTTGTGCCTTTTAAACTTTCCTTTATTCTTGTTGAAGAATTTTGTTTTATCCTTGATGGATAAAAGAGCAAAAGCAGACTCATTCTTTTCTTTCTTTAACTTGTCTTCTTCAGCAACACATTTCCCAATGAGATCGTTAACACCCCAAGTTTCATTCTGCGCAGTATAAGCAGTTTTAATCTGGCTAAAATCAGCAGGCAAAACATTCAGAACATGATGCACAATAAAATCATCCTGAAAAACGATATTATGGCCCTTCAACTTGGTTTGAATGTGGACCATCCTCAGAATAAATTCTCGTATCCCGATTGAAGCGTTATATTTCATATTAGTCAGTTCATTCACCAGATACCCAGCCTCAGCTTTGTTTGAAATTTTAAATCTCTCACCAACAGCATCAAGAAAGGCTTTAGCAGTCAAATTTTCAGGCAAACCACTGAGCAGATGCTCAGCAATCGACCTCTTCATAGCAATAAGGCTCAAACGATTGGATTTCTCCCATCTCGCATAATGGGCTCTCTGACTGTCAGTGCTCTCATCAGTGGGTCTACGCGGTTCATTTTGACGTAAGGCAAAGTCTAAATCAACAATTCCCAGCGCAAATTCAATGTCTTGTTTCCACTTCTTGTAATTCGATCCAGTCAGCATTTCGACAGTGGCATTATTATTGTTAAGAGCGAAGTTAACTGATTGACACATATAATGCAATAAATTAGTCATGAGCAATAACAAAAATAATTAAATATCATAGACTCCCCTTTGGGCAGAGTATATAATACATAATTATTTTTCATCACATGAAGATTTAACAATGGAGAGAATTATACATAATTGTCTAAAACTTATCCCCTTTGGGCAGATAAATTTTATAAATTATATATCTCCTTAATTCCAAAAATCGTCATATGTAATTTTCAAAAAATTTACTCCCTTTGGGCAGATAAATAATTTTCAATTACATATTCCCATCAATAACATTTATCTTCATGTAATTTATTATTATATATTAAAAACCCCCTTTGGGCAGGTAATTAACATATAATAATTATTAAACAACAATAATAACTCATGAATCAAACATGCTCAAACAACACGAAACACTTTTCCAACATGTGTTTCTTGAAAAAAAAAATATTGCATTTGTCAACCAAAAGAATTCACTCATTGTCAATCACAATTATTATAATTGTGTATCAAAATAATATTTAAGTTATATCATTATGGGGTGTATTAAGCTATTCTGAAATATATATAAAATTCGAATAACGGCAGCATGTACAGCGAAATAATAAAAAGCACAAACTGATAATGCATCCACAAGGATAAGACTTCAGATTTAATGGAAACAAGGATAAGACTTTTATTTTGAATAAATATTCAAAATTCAATGAGTTATTATACATGCTGTGCAACCAGGATAATTATCTAATATCTTATAAAACTCGATGAGTCATAAAACTGACAATGATTTTGAATAAATACTGGAGAATATTTACGTGTTGTTTTGCAAATATAGATTATCGCAAACGATATATATATATATGTGCTGAGTTATTATACGTGTTGTAAATATATATATATGATATATATATATATATATATATATATATATATATATATATATTATATACCGAAAAACAAGTACACAGAAAATCATGCCCACGATATATCTCACTTGAATAGTTGTTATATGTTACTTGAATAATAAATCTTACGTGGGATATATCTTGATAAAACGGTAAAAAAAAGAATTACGTGGGACCTAATAAAGTTGTCAAGGTCATTGTGGGGTGGGGTTTTAGAAATTCAGAAACCCATTCAACGAATCAGTCTTCTCTGCTAACAATGGCGAATTGTTGAACAAAAGTAAAAAAAAAAATTCTAATGATCTTCCCGTTCACGATTCACCTTACAATTATTGAAAAAAATAAAATAAAAATAATACAGACTAGTATTGTCCTCTACACATGAAACATTCAAAACATATAATACTGTACATTCAAAACATCTATGTACGCTAGCTAGAAATCATAAAAAAAATGCAAGATAGAATTGCACAGAAAACAATGATAAATAAAGATAACGCTACACGTGAATTCTCAACCGAACAAATAAAGTTATATTGGATTCTATAATCATATACATGTGGCTCTGATACCAAATGTTAAATCTCAAATTATGAATCATGCAATGATTATAAAATACCAAATGTTAATAAATCAGAGTTGTAATTATGTGTACCTTGTTGGGCCATCACAAAGTCGGAGAAGAACGGTTGGAAATATGGGAACAAGATGCTAGAGTCTTCCTCTCTATTGCCTATTCAGAAATTGGCAGCCTTCAGCAGATGGGAGCATGATGGCTAATGGAGCTTAGCTCCAATATAAATAGGCTAGAGAGGGGACCTAGCCAATAACCCAGAAAAGAGTCTGTGTCCACTGGGTCCACCCATCATGGAAAACCAGGGTCACACTAAAGCCTACACTGCTGCCCAACTAGGCCCAATAACAACAGATGCCAGAAGCCCAATTCAATGTGATCACAATGGGCTAGTTATAATAATAATATTGGAATATCCATTAACCCGATTAATTTTAAAAGACAAAACTTATTAATTAATATTGCCCATAAAATAATAATTCTAACACTACAATGTTGTTATATGTTTATCATTCTCAAATGTTGTATAATCGTAAGTGTCTTCGTATAACAATGTTATCTTAAACTCCATGCGGTGGTGGATTAATTTTCATTTTTTTAATATTTGCAAATTACTTTTTTTTTTGGTAAACATATTTCCAAATTACTTTATTGAAATAATAACAATCATTTTTTTTTGCTAAAAAATAACAATCATTTTTAACTTTACAAATTTATATTCATCGTATTTTACATTTGATTTTATCCTTTAATTTGAGTTTTTTTCATGTCATAATTATTTAGTTTAGGATTTATGCAAATATTTATGAAATTATTAATCATTTGTACAATTAAGTTAAGGTAACCAATTCAAATAAATATATCATGGGTGCAATGGGATTAAGTTCCACTTTTTTCTGTGTATAATAAAACTCCCTAACCTAGTTTTAAAATTTTAAAAGACCAATTTTGCTAAATAATTTTGTTTTCACTTTTTTTCAAATTAAACAAAATTGGTGGCAACTTTCATGTTTTATTTATATATTTTTTGGATATTACATTTTCAATTGTATATTTGTGTTCATATATTACTTTATTAAAAATTAATTGTGAAAATTTTATTTTCGTATAAAAATATTTTATAAATATTTATTTGTAAAAAATAAAAAAAGTTAACGTTATAATTTTGGAAGATCAGCAAGTTGGCCTTAATTAGCTTATAGGGTTTTTGGCCTGTGGCAAACCTTTTATTATTGAGGGACATTCGGCCCTAGCTCATGCCTAATGGTACAAATGAACCCATTTTGACTGTTCTTTGGGACCGTTCTTTTTAGCTTCACATTATCACATATGAGGAAGACGATAAAGTAGTGAAGGCAAGCTTACATGTGGACGTACCAGTATTGTTGGTGGACAAAGCCATGAAAGCTTACATGTGGAACAACAAATATGATTCTGGAGAGGTAACATTTAATAACATTTTGGAGGGGGTTCCACATTATTAATTAAAAATAAGAAGAAAAATACTAATTAGCAAAATTTAATATAAATGTTACATTTCTTCCGGCAAATGTCACAAAAGATATTATTCAATAAGATTTAGTGTAAAATTTCCTCATGCATGCTTATAATTAAGTGTTACACAATATTATATATGTAGTAGTGTTAAATTCTTAATCAGGTTTGAAGTAACACAAAACATAAAAGAATTGGCATGAAATTGCCACCTTTTATATGTCATGGCCTAACAAAACTGTAAGAACTATCTTGGAGAGATAGGCTCTATTTGAATTCGGTTTCTAAAAACAGTTTTTTAACTTTTAGAATTGAAAAATAAAAATAAAACCTGTTTGATAATGATTGTTTTGTAAAAATAGTTCTAAAAATTATATTTATTTTTTAGTTTTTAGTAACAAATTTTGAGAACTGTTTTTGTTTTGTGTTTTCACTTTTAATTTTTAAAATAAAAAAGAGTGAATACCCTTTTTGGTCCTCAGCAAATTTCACGATGCCCGTTTTAGTCCCTAGCAAGTAAAAATGCCCATCGTGGTCCCTAAGAAATTCAAAATGGACTAATTTTTAGTCCTTTTAGGGACTAATATGGGTCTTTTTTAAATTTGTGAAGGACCACGATTTCAACTAAATGGGTCCATTTTAAATTTCTTAGGGACCACGATGGGCCTTTTTATTTGCTAGGGACTAAAACGAACATCGTAAAATTTGCTAAGGACCAAAAAAGGTATTTACTCTAAAAAAAATACAAAAACACTCATTTCTTTAACTATTTTACAAAATAATTTCAAGAAAATAATAAAATAAAAAGCAGAACATAGTCAAACAAACCCATAATTTGTATTTCAAAGATTGTGCACATGGCACTCGTTGAAGTCAATGAACAACAACTAAACAGAAACTTAATACTTGTTTGTGCCAAGCCAAGCTATGGCCCTACTTATTTGTTGCGTCTGCAGGAAAATAATGTTACATCCTGTAATATTATTTTTCTTTAACCCTTAATTAATATGTCATAATAATGTTTTCTTTTTTCTTTTCTTAAGAAGGTTAGAAATGGCAAAAAAATTAAAATATTACTATTTTAATAAATAATTATGAATATATAGCTGTTTTGAAATTATTTATGAATCTATTGCAGTCATTCACGCCCAAATTAGGCATGACTATTCACGCCCAAATTAGGTGTGACTCCCAAGGCATTCACGCCTAATTTAGGCGTGAATCATCTGGTGTTGACACGTGGCAAAAAAAGTCAACTTACGAACCGTAAAACTTTGGAAAGTCATAACTTTTGACTCGGATATCCGAATGAGGTAATTCTTTTTTTGATTTCACATAACTTTTCGAGATCTACGCAATGACATCTCATTTGATATATTTTATCTCTCAAAAACTTAATTCAAATTGTATTACCAAAAAAAATTAAAAAATTATTATTAATAAGAAAAACAAAATAAAGATTTAATTTGTGATTTAAACTCAATAATCAATTTGAAAAATCTCTATTAATAAATAAAATATTTAAATAAATATTCTAAACACTTGGTAGAATATTATATAAATTTGTATATATTTTAATAATTAATTACGAATAAGTTACTGTTTTGAACCTAATTACGAATATATTGCACTCATTCACGCCCAATAATGTTATTATAGCATTAAATTCAAAATTCAAATAACCTCAATAAGTTGATTGCATTTTGTATTTATAGCAGTTGATTGTGTTTTGTATTTAATAGGAGCGGATTGCGTTGTAATTTTATGAGTTGGTTACAGATTATCGCCAATTCAAATAAATTTGCTGGAGGTTATTTGAATTTTGAATTTAAGTTATAAGAGTTGATTTCGTTTTGTATTTAATAAGAAATTTGGTGACATCTTATTTATAGATGAGTTAATCCACTTTGGTGCCATCTTTATTGTATCATTGTTGCAAATTTGAATTGTGTTTGTGAGAGATAAAATATATCAAATGAGATGTCATTGCGTAGATCTGGAAAAGTTATGTGGAATCAAAAAAAGAATTACCTCATTCGGATACT